GCAGGCACAGACCTGTGTGTGTGTGTGTGTGTGTAAAGCCTTTACATGCCACAGTGGATTAACCACAGAGTCTTAGCTGTAACACTGAGGCTGTGAAGGAGAGATTTTCAGAGAGAAAAACAAGAGGGCAGGGACCAGATAGACGATGGGAGGACGAGGGTTTAAGATTGTTTGGGAGCAAAAAAAGAAAAGATTTTAATTCTGAAACACAACATATTTGGCTTAAAGAAAAAAACGGCATCGTTAATTAATCCTCAATTCAAAACCTTTGATTATTACAACTTCAGAGTGTCTGTTTTTAGTTTGTTTGTGAGCTGCACTCTTACAACAATAATGTCTTTAAGATAAGGCGGATCCCTTTGGAAATGTTGGCAGGCAGAAAAGCTTGTTCATTTCAACACTGTCAGCAGCTGATGGTTTGTGTTTAAAAGGAGAAAACTCTACTTTAATTCTTGTGAGCACAAGTTACAAAACACCTGCAGTGAATCACTGAATGTGAAGCTGCAGCGCGTCCAGCGTGGAAGTGTTTCAGCATGTTGGGGAGTGTTTGGAACAAGCAGATTAACAGTGAGAGCTGGGTTATGCTGCAGGAGTTTGAGGAGTGTCTCTGGATGTCTGGACGAGGTCTGCAGCTGACATTTGTTTGTATAATTTGTGCTTTGGGTGGTTGATATGGCCAACAAACACAGATCTCCCACCCAGGAGACCGCTGTTCGTTCCCCGTTTAAAACAAGAAGTTAACGTTGAGTTATTTGTCGTAACTTGTGTAATTCAGTAACGTCCGTGGTTATTTTAACCCATTTTAACGACGATCTTTTATTAAACCTAACTAAATATTTCACCATCTTTTATTAAACCTAACTAAATATTTCACCATCTTTTATTAAACCTAACTAAATATTTCACCATCTTTTATTAAACCTAACTAAATATTTCACCATCTTTTATTGAACCTAACTAAGTTGTTTCCTGTGAAGACGGAGGTTTATTTTGAAAGGACTGTAAACATGTATCGAGCGAAAATTGACACGTGTTGCTGGACGCACATCTTTGTAAGATATTATACGAACCATTGTACGAAGATACGTTGCTTCATCACATTTGGTTATTTATCTTTCATTTGGAACTTCCAAACAAAAACAACAAAGACTCAAAACGGTAAAGAACAATGATTTCAAGTGTTGTAGGTTTTAATAAATCAGTTGGTCCAATATAAAGATCAAATGTGTATTTTAGAGTATATTAAAAGAGAAAAAGACTCAACTTATCCAGCTGGATTTGCTCATCTTTCATTTAAAAAAGCTGACAAAACAAAATGTCCATCACGTAATCAGAGTTCCTTCACATCTTGGGTTTGCTGCTCTGCCTCCTCCTCCATGTCTGCCCAGATCAATATATGTTATATGTATTTAGCACTGGCACCTTACTTTATTTATAGACGTGAAATAACTACATAATAAACTGTTTTTCTTGTATCAAATTTGTTCTTTCTGGTAGAGAAATCTGACAGTTTCCAAAACCGCTGCCATGATTTTATACTTCAGAAATGTCGAAGCACAGAGCTGACTGCTTGAGGAGAAAGGTATTCATCCAAGTTTGTGCCAAAAGAGTTCAATGCTGACATTTGAGTGCAAAAAGAAACGGTCCATCATCCATCGCACAGCTTACTTAAAAAGGACGTCTGTCACCTGCTGTGTTTATGGAGAGTCTTGCCAAACCTCAATGAAATAAAAAGTTAAATTTGCGGCCTGGCAGTGGAAGGCAACTCATCACGCATGCTTTATCAACATGTTGCATTAGAATCAGCGACTGTATGTAAGAAGTGGACGTAGTCGACGTGACGTCACCCGTTGGTTTGTGGACTGATGTTTTGAAGCCTCGAGTTTGGCGTTTTGGTTGTCGCCATCTTGACTTTTTGCAACAGGAAGTGACCATAAGTGAACAGGAAGTGACCATATCTGGACTGAGGAGGAGTGACATAGAGACGCCGTATACGTCTCTGGTAGAGACCTGTCAATCACCGTGTAGCCCCGCCCTAAAGCATCCCCTGCTTTATGGTCTGTTTGACTCTAAATGGACCATAATGTACTAAATGAACATCATGCTGTATTGAAGAAGACTTGGAACTAGAGATTGAGACCATAAACTCATGTTTACAATGTTTACTGAGGTAATAAATCAAGAGAGAAGTAGAGTCATTTTCTCATAGACTTCTATACAACCAGAGGAGTCGCCCCCTGGTGGTCACTAGAGAGAATGCAGCTTTAACTCACTTCTGTATTGGCTTCACTTTTTAGAACCGGAGGTTGCCGCCCTGATGAGATCGCATTAAAAACAGTGACGTAATGCTCAGGTCAATATGGAGAGCTGTTGACACCGACTACTATCTGTCAACAGATAACAAGTCGGACCAGTTTAGTGACAACATAGCTGGCTATGCAACAGTGTCATCCACGTTCAAACACTAGCTAAGCACCCAGTGTTGTTTCACAGTGTTTCATCACTAATTGCACCCTGTGACGCGTCCCTTACCTCAACCTGGCAGTCGCTCGCCTCCTCCAACTGTTCAATGAGGCAGCGAGTCCATGCGAGTCATTAAAAAGGGAGAAGGAAGCTCGGCTGCACAGCTTTCAGCTCACTGTGCCTCTCTGCTCTCATAGCTGGCATTTCTCAGATAAGAAGCAGCCAGCAAAACTGATTTACAAGGCTCCTCTCCTCCCTCTGTGTGTGTGTGTGTGTGTGTGTGTGTGTTTTAAAAGACTCAAAGTCTAATAAACTAGCATGAAATACTCCGCCGGCAAAAAACACATCAACCTGCAAATCACATCACAGCGTTCAGCGCTCGTTCTCCATCTGTCATACAGCGCAGGTGAATGTGTGTGTGAGTGCGTTTACAGTATTTGCAGGTTTCAGTTTGCAACATGTTGAAGCTAAATCTTTTTCCCTTAATCATCCTCTTGCTATTTTTTGTTTTCCTCTGCGTATAATGTTTCTTCTCTGGTGTTCCTGTAGCCGTACACGTTTACTTCACTCCCATTTCTTAACACTCTTGGTACTTCTCTTCTCAGCAGCGTCGTCATTTGATACACGCATCGATATTACAGGCGAGGGCGATTCTAAGAAGGCAGGCGTTAACTCCTTTTATTGGATTTCCAGCCACCGGGGCTTTTCTGAACTCCAGTGTTCTCCAGAGTAACTTAACACCGAGCTGGAGAGTCTCCGTTTCACTCAGCTCTTCTGGGTGAAACGCTCAACTCTGATGTCATAGTGCCCCGGCCACACCCTGAGTGCACTTCTACATCACAAAGCCCCGCCCCTTCCAGTGGACCACCATGGGACTTTATTTCGGAAAAAATATGTACGGCAGTCAACGGCGAGATACAAATAACTTTTTTGATTCTATTTGAATTGTGCCATAAATTACACATATGTTGGTGATCAATTCAAAAGATAGTGTCAAGAATTTCGTCCTAGAACTGTTGACATAGAAGACTGTACAAATATGTAGTTAGAAAGTCATGAAAGTGACGTCTGTGTCCGAAACTACGATGCCGGTGTCTTTCGTTTCTTGGCTCATAAAAATAGTCGCTGGATTAAACGCATCCGGTGAGATGACGTCACATTTGGAACTACGCTAGCTAGCTAGCAAGCTAAGCTAACACCCGTGTTGGTGTTGGTGACGTTCATAATGTGAGAAGAGAGATGTAGTTCACTGAACAAAATGCTACCATGACAAAATGCGACTTTCTTGACTTGCAAAATTATCTTTTATATTGACAAACATCATATGGCACAAAAATAAAACATGATCAAAAAATATTCATCTTACGCCTTTGACTACTGCGCACAGTTTTACCCAAAAAAATCCTTTGGGGGAACATTGGAAGCGGCGTGACTTTGCCTCTCTATTAATGATTTTCTCGGACGGGTTCACCCTAATAAACTGCTTCTCTTTTAGTAAACCTGATGGCGTATTTTTGTAGGTGGAGCTTATAGGTGGAAGCAGAATAATTCTCTGAAGAAGTCATTTTCTCATGGACTTCTATACAACCAGAGGAGTCGCCCCCTGGTGGACACTAGAGAGTATGCAGCTTTAACACATGACGCATCGGCTTCACTTTTCAGAAGCTGCATCTTGCCAAAGTTCTTAATTTTTACTATTTGCTGTTGCCTTTTAAGTTAATATAATATTGAATGACACGTGATGCAAATTGGTACTACATTATCAGAAGTCGGATTAAGATGACCGTACCACTAACACCATTAAATCGGTTCTAATCTATGGTAACCGTGAAGTATTAAGATACTGTGATAATCTGAGGTTGATCCTCCTGCCAGACTGGGGAGTTAAGTGTTCTGAGTCACGGCTGATTGGCAGCGTAGGTGGTTGATTAGTCTGGTCCAGATTACATGGAACACTGAAGTCTGATTAGGCTGAGTCATTGAAAAAAGTTGAAAGCTTAGTGTTTCCTCCATTAAGTGTAATTAGTGCGTGTGTGTATGTGTGTGTGTGTGTGTGTGTGTGTGTGTGTGTGTGTGTGTGTGTGTGTGAGTCGTCTCCTCTAAAGTTCACTTCCACTCATCTCAGTTTTTAGCTGTTTCTCTGCATAATTAACCTTCCTTCAAAAGGCAGTTTGTAGCTCATGACTTCAGATTTTTTTTGTTCTTTTCCATGTTTTAAATCTAATTGGCCGCTCGGGCTGATGAAACGCTTCTAAAACCTCGAGGGAGGATCCTCAGATTGAAGCTAAAGCTAACGTCCTGAGGATTTCACCCAGCAGCAGCTGTTAAAACAGGTTTCATCAGCCCCGAGTGTGTTGCTGTTGAGAAAGACCTTTGTGCAGTTTGAAGATGTACATTGAGGGAAATTGCTGAAGGTCCTCCTGTTACGATGAAGTTCAAATACATTTTAATTCATTACTTTATTTGCATGAAATCAGAGTTAATCGAAATGTAACCAAACTGCTAAATAACGAATGTAACGTTTGTGTTTTGTGTAGGAGAGGAGAGGAGGTGCATGTCATCAGAAGTCAGCGGGCCTGAGCACTGAACAGGTAAGGGAGCAATCATCACCTCGACTCTTCTCTACTCGCGTCTTCTCTAATCTTACTTTTTGAATCAGCTTTCAATGGCTCAGAACCTTTGATTTTGGAAACATGGCCCCTTCCCTGGCACCAAACTCACGCTGAACTTCAGGTGTTTTATTTGCCCTATAGGTGGCATAATAAAGACGCGTGTCTATTTTTTCATCCATCCGACGACTTTTTCTCGTCAGTTTTCTGTTGTGTAATAAGTGTTTCAGCCTCATGGGGCAGTTAGCATGGCGTGTTGTTTTATTGTTAAATTCCTCAGCTCATACAAAGGCCTCCTGCTTTTCTTTCTATCGTCGTATAAAATTCCCATAAAACCGGTTCATTAAACTGGAGTTGCTGTGTCAACACATAGCGTTGCAGAGCCGTTACCTAATTATTTGGCCTTTTATAACGCACATAAACGCACGTTATTTCTCGAGTGTGAAGCCTTGGTGTGTGTGTGTGTGTGTGTGTGTGTGTGTGTGTGTGTGTGTGTGTGAACACATGGGAGGCTGATAAAGAGCAAACAGGAAAGCATGTCTGATAAAATCACTGATACAGGAAGTAGTTCAGCTGTAAAAAATAAAGCATTTTTGGATCTGTGCTGATGTTTTAGACAAACAGTCTTTGGTACAATCACAGGCTGGATATTAATAATTAACATTGTATATTTAACGACGTTATGGTATCTGCTGTTTCCTACATGAAGTGTAAACTAGTTGGACTGGAAAGTCTCACTCAGCTGGTTTACTTTGAGCTAGAGGAGTTCCTGTTTGGGCTGAAAATCAAACCTCAATATGCTTTTTGATATCAACCAAAAGTACCGAAAGGCGTCACTTCATGTCCGGTTCATTTTGTAATCTTGTTTATTACGGTGCAGCGCTACATCGATCTGGATCAACATATCGATTCAGCCGTCCAATATCATCGATGCAAAGTTTAACATGCAACTTTATTTTGAAATTCACACCATTTCTTCTTGCAGAGCCCAAACATAACATTGTCAAAATCATATTTGAGTTGCTTTCTGTCACTTTATTTAAATGTACTGACATGGCGTATGATATTGATCGCAAGCCTGTCAATTTAGTTCAATCAAAATCATATTGTGCCAGACATTATTAGCAATATTAGTAATTTTGCATTGCATTGATTTTGGCAAATTTTGGTTTGGATGTTTGGGCTCAATTAAGAATGTTGTGCGATGGTTTTAATGGAAATCTGTTATTATTTGTGACATTCCATAGACTTAACAACTAAATCACTCCGTCATTAGTAGCCGTACTACTTCTTCTCACACGACTAAGCTCACTGAAATAATTTAAATAAGTTGAAATGTTATTTTCCATCCAACCCACTTCTACTGTCTGCATCTTCATATCTACTTTCTTCATTCCAATGAGAAACAAGTTTTGCAAGTTTTGAGAAAAAACTTCTCAAACCTTTAGCATAACACACACACACACACACACACACACACACACACACACACACACTCTCCCACTTTCCTGTGGGAGCTGTGCAGGAAAACTCTGGTGTAATTCTTGTAGCAGGAAGTTCAGTGTGTTTGCATCTTTACTTCTGTGTGGGTGTTTGTGGCGTCTCAGAGGGGAGCTGCAGCTGTGAAGGCTGGCTCCAAAAAAACGTGTGCTCCACTCGCACACTGGAGAAGACTGGGTCTCCTCAGCACTTCCTCTCCTGCTCCAGAAAAGTCTCGTCTCTAAAGGCTCACATGCAGATTGAGTGTTGCAGCTTTAGGTTGTCATTTTGTGAACATGCACACTGCTGTGGATGGTTATTTGGTCCAGCAGACCGAGAAGACGCGCACTGAATTATTGCACATTTAGAAGGACGACTGCACACAACTCAAGAGTTCCTCACCATCGTTAGTTTCCTCCGGCTGGATCCTCACACCTTCCCCACGTTAGTAATGATGTGTAGAGAATACATTCGATTGTTGAGCTGTTGTCACACAGCGGGGATTGTGGATGAAAGATGGCAAACAAATATATTGTTATAATAAAATGGAACAATCTTCAAACACTGAGATCCAGCACAAGTATCTTCACATGCACTGTTGTAAAACCTCCATTATGCCTTTATTCTACCACTTCATGTTCTCACAGTCCAAAAAGCATTTCCCATTTCATATGCACTCCAAACTCTCCCTGCAGGAGTGATTGTGTGGCGGTACAAAGATTGGACGCTCTGCGTTTTAGAATCGGTGAAAATGACGCGTCTGTAGCAGAGATGGATGAAAGAGATCGTTAAACCGACAGAAGTGGTGAAATCTAAAGGTTTCCTATGAGTGGCAGGAAATAAAAGCAAATCGGTTCAAACTGACTTTGACGAATGTCCAACGAAAGAAGAAATAAAATGTGATAAAACGTCTGAAAAGCTTTCTGTAAATCCCGCTGCAGCATTCTGTGAGTGTCCTGTGCCCACTCGTGTGCACACGGAAATACAAACTACTATCTTTTGATAAACTATTACTAAAAACAGTGTTTTCTGGGCTGGAAGGAATCTTTTCTGCACATCCTTAAAGCCATTCGATGGAAAACCTTTTCTGGATTCATAAAGAAAGACGAAGACTCTCCTATTCCTTTACATCATTATGTCTATCATTAGTTATGATGAAGCTGTACTCATCAAAACAATCACAGAAGTCCGTTAATAACGACTGAAACTATAAAAACTAAATAATAATGCGTTTCTGGACTTTCTGAAGATGACAAACGCTAGTTTTGAAATTGACTTATCGCTCCAAACATAAGTCCTTTAACTTTGAAGTCTTTTCTTTTGTAAAACATAAAATACTACCATTACAACGTCAACGTCACGTTTAGTTTGCATGTTGCAGCTCTTCATTGTGACATGTTGAATACGGGTTTTGGTGGCAGAAGAACACGTCACACAACACCTTTGCAACACGTCCCATCACAGAGATCAAGCAAACAACATTTAAAGACACACGATGTTGGTAGATTCAGGGACGTAGACACTCAACATCTTATATTTAGGCCAGAACTGCTGCTGTGTTGAGCATTAGTTAGTTAGTTATCATAACGGAATGAATCTACATGGTCGTAAGTCTTTGTAAATATCGTGTCGCAGTAATTCATTGAAATTGTTGCTTGCTGAGCTGTACGTAAATAATGATATGATTTGCTTTCACATTACCAGAGAAGTATCTACAAAGTATTTAAAATCAACGGAGCCTCACATTACGTCTCGGATTCTATTGCAGTTTGATGCACAGTGCAAACTCCTCATTATACCTTGATATAGATACCGGATACAGCTTGAATATTCTATCATATTATACATAATTCAATGTCCAATTGAATATTGTATGAAGCGTGGGCATTTGAATTCAGACACGCTGGAGGTGACGGATGGATCGAGAATAAAAACGTCAAGAATTAGACAAAGCAGGAGGAGAAGGATGAGGAAGAGAGAGAGACGAAGAGGAGGTAATAATACAAAGTGTGTGTGTGTATATATATATATACAAAGACTCTTCTAATGAGTGGAATATATCCATTACTTATAGTTTTAATGAAAACCCCGTAAATGTGCTGCTGCACTTCTTCAACTGGTGCTGAAAAAAAGACATTTAAATATATAAGATCTGTGATCTGTGTCTCTTATCTCACCTCCTTCATTACATCCCAGCATTCACTTGGGTACAGCATGAGACGGGAGAATCGGTTCGCATTGAACATGGTTGAATGCGGTGCTGATGAAAGCTCACGCTGATAATAGCTTTTTCATTATGTCCTTAGCCGGCTTTGGCATTTCATGTTTTACTGTTGCAGACTTCTGATTCTCGCTGCTGCTGCTTTGGGTTTGTGCCAGAGAGTCTTTTCACTGCAGTTTTTCCATTCTGTGTTTTTAGGAATATATTATTCTTTGTGTATCGCATTTCTGCTCGATTAAGCTCCGTGGAGAAGACCCGGGGTGGGAGTGAGAGGTGTGAGGGATTGTAGTCGCCCTTTAAGAAATAAGACGTCAGAGATTAAGAGAAATCAAACAGCAGCAGCTGGAAGTTCACAACCCCCCCCCCCCCCCACCCCCCTCGCTCTTTGCATTTAGCGTAATTGATACGACCCTGATCCACCAAGGTTTCCACCAAAAGGCGGTTCTTGAGGAGTTTGCGGGCAGATCCAAGTTAGAAGAACACGAGAGGAGACTTTTAGCCGTGCTAGCTGCGTAGCGCTAACGATAGCAGTGCTCATAAACAGTGTGGGAACGTCAGGAGCTCAGAAGTATTCATGTAATCTATTAGTCTGTTGGCAGAAAATGGATCCAACTTCTCAAATATGAAGATTTGTTCAGTTTGACTTTAATATTTTTGGGGTTTTTGTCTGTTGGTCAAACAAGAACAAGACATTTTATAGACCAAATTATTAATCCAGATAATATCTCCTCCCCTCTTTTTAGTGGATTAGTTGTGTTTTTTGGTTTTCTTCATGCTGCATAACTAATTTCCAAGAAACTTATGAGCACATCTCAAGATTTAAAGTTGTTCTTTCATGTGATTCTTTGTGGAGAAACTCAGTTTTACAGATCTGTTGATTAAATCAACGAATTGATTGTGGACTAAATCATTTTCAGTGTTCTACTGATAATTTCTTTGGTTGAAGACGACACTAGAGACTCCACGGTCATCTTTAGCCATGCTAGCTGTGTGATGCTAAGGATAGCCGTCTCCGTTAGCTTTCATAAGCAGTGTGGCAACGTCGAGAGTTCAAACAAGCATTAATCCAGAAGATATTTAAGAGATGGAGACTTCCTTGGAGTCTAAATGGCCAACAGGATGTGAGGAGTGCGGTTGTATTTGACATCTCCCAGTTATAGATGTGTGGTATTAAGAGGATGTGCAGTCGGGTATGTGTTCAGTCAACCTTCTCCGGGGAAATAAAGGAACATCACCGATAATGTTGCATCATAAATCCTGAGACGGGAGTTTTCACGGAGAG